AAAATCAAACCCGAGGCCAGTTATTGGGGTAAATGCTGGAAGGTCAGAGTACCATAACAAGCCACAGCTATCTCACCTTGCCAATTCCTCAGCTGGTCCTGTTTCCTCAGACTGGAAGCTTCTGTGCCCTCATCCCAATGGCTCTCAGCTGAACTGCTGCTAGAAGCCTAAATGCTTAACCAGCCAAAATGCTTAACCAGGCCAAATGCTTCTAGTTTCTGGTCCTCATGCCTTATAAACCTTTCTGCTTTCTACCACCACTCCCTGGGAAAGGCTGCTTTCTGGGATTAAAGGCGTGAGTCACCAGGCCTGGCTGTTTCCAATGTGGCCTTGAACTCACAGAGATCCAGAGGGATTGCTGTCTCTGGAATGCTAGGATTAAAGGTGTGAGTGCCACCATTTTCTAGCCTCTGTATCTAGTGGCTGTCTGTTCTCTGACCCCAGATAAGTTTATTAGGATGCACAATATTTTGGGGAACACAATACCACCACAACTGAGAGCAACAATTAATAAATGGGACCTCCTGAAACTGAGAAGCTTTTGTAGGACAAAGGACATAGTCAATAAGAGAAAATGACAGCCTACAGAATGGGAAAAGATCTTCACCAACCCCACATCTGACAGAGGGTTAATCTCCAAAATATATAAAGAATTCAAGAAACTAAATAAAGACATCAAAATAAAGAACAATCTGATTAAAAAATGGGCTATAGAGCTAAACAGAGAATTCTCAACAGAAGAATCTCAAACAGCTGAAAGACATTTAAGAAATTGCTCAGCATCCTTAGTCATCAGGGAAATGCAAATCAAAACTACCCTGAGATACCATCTTATACCTGTGAGAATAGCTATGATCAAAAACACTGATGACAGCTTATGTTGGAGAGGATGTGGAGCAAGAGGAACACTCCTCCATTGTTGGAGGGAGTGCAAACTTGTACAGCCATTTTGGAAATCAGTATGGCAGTTTCTCAGAAAATTGAGAATCAATCTACCTCAAGACCCAGCTATGCCACTCTTGTTGCTCAATCATACCGCAAGGACACATGCTCAACTATGTTCATAGTAACATTATTCATAATAGCCAGAACCTGGAAACAACCTAGATACCCCTCAACTGAAGAATGGATAAAGAAAATGTGGCACATATACACAATGGAGTACTACTCAGTGGTAAAAAACAATGATATCATGAAATTTGTAGGCAAATGGGTAGAACTAGAAAATATCATCCTGAGTGAGGTAACCCAGACTCAGAAGGACAAACATTGTATGTACTTACTCATAAGTGGATACTAGATGTAGAGCAAAGGATAACCAGACTACAACCCATAGCTATAGAGAAGCTAGCTAACAAGGAGGACCCTAAGAGGGATATATAGATTGCCCAGCAAAGGAGAAATAGATGAGATCTACATGAGCAAATTGGGGGTGAAGGGAGGGTAATGGAGGGTAAGGGATGGGGGATGAGAACATAAGGGAATGTGAGGTTCGAGCTGGAACAGGGACAGAGTGGGAGAGCAAGGAAAGAGATATCATGATAAATGAAGACATCATGAGAATAAGGAGAAACAGGGTGCTAAGGAAGTTCTCAGGAATCCACAAGGATGACCCCACCTTAGACTACTAGCAATAGTCAAGAGGGTGTCTGAACTGGCCTACTCCAGTAATCCGATTAGTAAATACCCTAACTGTCATCATAGAGCCTTCATCCAGTAACTGATGTAAGTAGATGCAGAGATCCACAGCCAGGCGCCAGGCTGAGCTCCAGGAGCCCAGTTGATGAGAGAGAGGAGGGATTCTATGAGCAAGGGACATCGAGATCATGATGGGAAAATGTACAGAGACAGCTAGCCAAAGGAGTAGAAACACATGAACTGTGGACCAATAACTCTGGAGCCCCCATGGGACTGGACTAGGCCCTCGGGATAGGCAAGGCAATTGTTTGAACTGGTTAGGGGACCCCCAGGCAGTGGGATCAGGATCCATCATTGGTGCATGAGTGGGCTTTTTGGAGCCCAGTGCCTATGGTGAGAAACTGTGCACAGCCTTGGTGCAGGGAGGAGGGTCTTGGTCCTGCCTCAACTGAATGTACCAGGCTCTGCTGACTCCCCAAGGGAGACCTTGCCTTGGAGGAGGTGGGAATGGGGGGTGGTTTGTGGGGGATGCTGGGAGGCGGGAGAAGGGCGGACAGGTTGATCTGTGGTTGGTATGTAAAATGAATAGAAAATTTCTTAACAAAAAAATAAAAATAAAAAAAAAGAAATGAAGAAGCTGGCAGGTAGGGAGGTGAAGAAAGATCTGGGAGGAATTAGTGGAAGGTAATTAATATAACCAAAATACATTGTATAAAATTCTCAGATAACAAATAAAACTTGATAGAATAAAGTTAACAGAAGTATGTCTTTACAGAGATAAATTCCTTATTTATGACAATTTACTATGTACTCATAGTTTATCACATAGTTAAATTGTGCCAGTGGTTAACTTTAGAATGAACTACCACTGATATTCTTTTTATTTTTTTATTTATTTTATTTTTTTATTTTTCTTTATTAAGAAATTTTCTACTCACTCCACATACCATCCACAGATCCCCCCTCCTCCCTCCTCCCACCCCCTAGCCCTCCCTCCCAAGCCACCCCGCATCCCCACATCCCCCAAATGGAGGTCTCCCATGGGGAGTCAGCAGAGCCCAGCACACTGAGCCTAGGCAGGTCCAAGCCCCTTCCCACTGCACCAAGGCTGTGCAAGGCGTCACAATGTAATGATTGGGTACATTTCAATGTTCAAAGCACTAAACAAGATGAGTGGGAATGAGGTCTTCCTCCTTCTATAGTCATGCTGGAGATTCGAAGTCCAAGCCTTTTGTCCAGTGACTGTTTCCATGGGATGGTATTTTGTTTTTTTTCCAGGTGATGATGCCAAAGAAGCTGTGAAACATGGTGTGGATGGGATCTTGGTGTCCAATCATGGGGCTCGACAACTGGATGGAGTGCCAGCTACAGTGAGTTTCCACTTTTTTAAATCAGGGATCTGTATATGTCTACTGAGTGTGTGTGTGTGTGTGTGTGTGTGTGTGTGTGTGTGTGTGTGTGTGTGTTTCAGAATCACTTATAGTAAATGGTGTGATGTTATGTGAGATCTCGGATTTTCAGTGGTACAGAATTATCTAAATTAGCAAATGCAGTTATTTTTTACTAGCCCAATATGTCTATTTATAAATTCATGAAAACAGATCCTTCTAATTAGTAAGGCAGGGATTATTTTTGTGAGCACAGGTATACCAGTAGGTGACATATGAGCTGGAGAAGGAGAGAGATGATTCAGACATGATAATCCAAAGGAAATGAAGGAACACACAATTGTAGGGAATGACAAAAGCCTCTGAGGAGGAATAATTTAACATAGTAGTAGTGCAAATTGTTGTTTTGTTGAACCAGCAGGATGATTTGGCTAAGTCTGCAGACAACTTGAGTTCATTTTATGACAGAGTACAAGCCAGCAAGGAGCTCTGGTGTGCACAGGGCAACTAGCAGGGAGCACTCGTGTGCACAGGGCACTCACACGGTGTTTCCAAAGCACTGAAGTCTGTATACAATGGGATTAGCAGCCTAAGATCTGAAATCATAAAGCTAGGGGTTGTAAGCCCCTTCTGTTGTAGATTTAGTCCCGTAGACACAGCATTCTGGGTGATGTTAAATGTGGCCTGAAGGTAAAAAGGGGTGGAAAGTGATGCCCTTCTTAAAGCAGGGTGGAGAAGCTGCTCACAGCTCAAAGTGCCTGGCCAGATGCCTCACTTGTGCACGAAGACATAGGCTTAGTGTGCGGGCCAAATTAAGTTTGTTTTCTAAAAATAAAATATAAATCTTCTGAAATCAAATCTAACTAGATTTTAAGGGGAAAATATCTAAATGGTGTGGTTTCTTTCCCTCTGGCCAAGGGCATATGGAAACTTATCTCAAAGGGCTTTTGAGTTGTGGTCTCAGAGACTGTTTTAAAGAAAACAATGCCCCCTCCCTTTGCATGCCGTGTGTATGAGAGGATATACCTGCCTAAGTTTTGCCTCGTACTTACAGAAAATTTCAGGCCAATGATGATGAGAGAAATGTATGAAAGCACTCAGTCTGTGGCAAATGGTGTTTTTTCCTCTTGGTGTATGGGTTTTGAGGTGAGCAGTCAAAGATTTAAAAGGAGGCTATGGTATAAGCCTTTACACTAGATGCATAGAAGGTCTTACTGTCCTGTAGACATCGTTACATCATAAGCCAGGGTACAGGCCTGGTATGATATCATGGGAGGAGTTTTGAAATAGGAGGCTTGAGTTTGAGTTATTTTCTTGCCTCCCCATAATGTATGAGAGATAGAGGGGCAAGTCATTCAGACTCTTAGGCCTGAACCTCTCCTGGTATTGTGTTGGTTCCATAAAGGATATGCCTGGACTGTACGATTCTACATTTTCCTTCTTCACAGTATTCCCTTGTACAGAGAAATACTTGCCGCTTGAATTTCTGAACCAGGAATTTAATGTCAGTTTATCTTGACACATTATTCTCTGTCCTGTATGAGTCCTTCGAATATTCTCTTTTGTAAACAGAACAGAAGCTTTTCTGTCTGGACAACCCAGTCCCAAATAAACACACAAAAGCTTATATTAACTACAAAGTGCTTGGTCGATAGCTCAGGCTTATTACCAACTAGCTCTTAGATTTAAATTAACCCATGTCTATTAATTAATGTATTGCCATGTGGCCCGTGGCTTTATCGGTCCTCTAGCATCTGCTTCTTGGGCAGCTCACTTGTGTCTCTCTTGACTCTATCCTTCTTCACCTGAGTTCCCAGTTTGACTGTCCCACCTAACTTTATTCTACCTTACTATAGGCCAAACAGCTTTACTATTAACCAATGAGAGCCATGCATATTCACAGCGTACAGAAGGATCCTCCCACAGCACTCTTTTATATTTTTTCAAATTTGCATTGCTTTTTGATGCCAACTAAACCCTAAGTACTTCAGATTTGCAGATATAATGTGTTTTTTTCCACAGTAAATTTCCCATCTGCCAAACACTTTCACTGAATAAGCGTCTGCGCTATTAAGTTGATGACTCTCAAGTTGAGTCCTTAGGCATATTCTGTACCATCTAACAATTTTTTAGAGGGGTGCTTGGGACTAGAGGGGACACTCAATGGTAGAGTGCTTGCCTAGCATAGAGGAGACCCTAAGTTCAAATTCTAGTACCAGTACTGCAAAAATACAAAATGAATTGCAAAGACATGTTTTATGTGATCCATCCTTGAGAGGTACTTGGTATATGAATTGGTTTTAATGTTATCACAAACAAATCTGAACTTACTGGCTAAAACAACTCCCATTTATTTATGTCCCAGTTTTATTAAGTTGAGATTTTGGGCTGAGAACTGTGAGGTGGTGGGTTCTTGTCTTGGCTGGGCTCAGTCCTGATTATATGGGGTCAGGTGCTTGTGTGGTACACCAGGCTGGTGGAGGAGAATCTCACTGTCTCACATCTTCTAGTGTATCAGATTGATTTGTTTTCATGAAGGGACAGGTCTCTTAAAGAGTCATGCCAGTTCTTAAGATCTAAGTTAAGAAGCAAAGCATTGTTAGAATCTCTCCTGTTCCATTGGTGAATGCTAACCACAGTTCAGATCCCCACCCCACCTCCCTTACCCTAAGGATACCCTAGGGAGCATAATCCCACTATGAATTGTGTGTGGGGGATCACTGGAGCCATTTGGGGGCTTACTGAATCTCTGGGCTGGTGATTTTTTGATTGTGCTGGGTAGAAGCCCTGGAGGGGTGCAGGGTATGGTTGGGGAGAGCAGCAGCTGGGACTCAGTTACCTCTGCTTTAACTACAGCAGCATGTCTAAAGTTCAGCTCCTTTGGTTGGAACATTTGAGTGTCCTTCTTCTTGAGTAAACGTGGATGCACTATGGATGCTTAAGAAAGGAAAAAAAGGAACTATAAATAGGGCTGTACCTAATGGGCTTATCTGCTCCATTTATGTATTCAGTCTGCCTGGATCACTCTATTTTATATAGAGTGTGCCTAGTGAGAGTGCAGCTCTGGAAAGAGAGGGACGTTAGAATTGCTCAGTGTTGGATGGGACTTACCTGTCCACAGACACAGAGACACAAATGCAGGCTCTGTTTTATATTCCAGGATTCATATCTTAAGTGTCCTTATTAGTGTACTTTTAGGTCAGGTTAGGCACTGGAAATAACCTAAACAGACTTGATTTGTGTGACTTTGAAAATGTGTATTGAACCCAAGCTAGCTAATATTTTTCTTTGGTTCTGGTTTCAAATGGGGAAATATGCTTAATTATGGCTTGCATCATGGCTTGGAAATTGTAGCATTTATATGTTGATGTAACTCGCCTGAATGTAAAAGGGGACTATGTATAGGTAAGAGAACGTATGTAAATGGATCCGAAGCATGTTTGGCAAGGCATGGAAGCCAAAAGGGAAAGGGGAAAATTACACTACCTGCCAAACATTTAGGGGCCACTTGCCAAGGGTTGCCTCCACTTCCTCCAAATTGTAGCTGTGTTTGGTTTTCAGCCTTTTACATAAAACTCTATTTAAGTTTAGCCACTAAACTTCTAGGAGAGAAGTAGGAAAGCCTTTGAGTGATTTCAGCACAATTATTTCTGGAAAAAGAGTAGTTTAAGTGTGTGGTGGCTTTCACAGCATACATAAATGGAGTCAGGACTTCATTTCAGATCTAAACGTTTTGGGACAAATGTGAATAATTTCCATAAATTTTCACCTACATCTAATGAGCCAGTTGTATCACATACTACTGTGGCTCTAGGGGGAAAAGCCAGTGATTTAAGCTGACAATTGTTCCCTTCAAACATCCTGCTACTGGGATCTTCTGATTCAGGCTTGGGACTAGCCTGCTGGCTGGGATCTAAGTTCCAAGTCCAGCTGGGCGAGGTTAGACAGCTCTGCCTCCTGAATAGTCTTCCTGGGCCCAAGCTCTGATGGAACAAGGTCTGGGGATCCCTATCTCATGACGAAGGACAGAGGCGCAAACCTACAAAGAAATACCTGACATAGCTTCAGGTCTGTGGCCAGAAATGGCCCTCTACCTCCCCTACTCACATATGACTGGCCAAAGTGGGTCATAATAACCAAAGCCAATGTCAAGGAGTAGGTCAATATGCTCTGTCTATTTAAATGGGAGAAACTATATAGATGTCTTAGAAAGGACATGCATTTGGAGATGTATGGGGGATCATGAAGGATAATATACACCACCACCTCACTCTTGTGGTGTTCTTGTACTCTCTGTGGTAAACTAAATCCATTGTCAATGGCAATTTAGACAGGGATCTTCAAGGTTCACATGGTCATATTCCTGTAACTGAGAGTAAAGTGTATTCACAGTTAGCTCATGCTTATCTAGATATAAAGTATGTTAGAAGAGGAAATCAGAGAGAAGCCATGCTTGCATGCTTTCTACACCACTGCTTACAAAATCTAATGTGCATTTTAACCATTGATCTTCAGTAAACAATATTAAGAATACTTTATATGAGTAAGATATTTCACTTATTTTGATAAAAGAGGGAACTATGAAAGATTAAGTGATTTAGAATTGTGTTTACTATTTTTTAGACATAATATTTGCATTTAAATTTCAGGAGCAGAAAAATTAATGCCATACTTTGAAGACAAAGAGTCTACTTAATTCTGAATTCACGAGTTTCTAGTTCCTAGCATTTGCATTTTTCTTCCTGGAGAAATGATTCCATCATCAACCTTAAACCTATTGGTCTCTTTTCTCTCTGAGCCTTAGTTGGGTGGGTTTGAAGTCATTGATTGGAGGTGAAATTGAGCAGAAGTTTTTACACAAACATTGCCACACTGTCCCTCTTCGCTCCCTAGATTGATGCCCTGCCAGAAATCGTCGAGGCTGTGGAAGGAAAGGTGGAAGTCTTCCTAGACGGGGGTGTAAGGAAAGGCACCGATGTTCTCAAAGCTCTGGCCTTGGGAGCCAAGGCTGTGTTTGTGGGGAGACCCATCATATGGGGCTTGGCTTTCCAGGTAATTGGACAAGAAAATAAACAAATAAAACAAAATCCTTCAATAGTGAAATAGAACCGAACTAGTTTACCCAATACTTTAATATCTGTTACTTGCTTAGGGAGAAAAAGGTGTTCGAGATGTCCTTGAGATACTGAAGGAAGAATTCCGGCTGGCCATGGCTCTGAGCGGTAAGGCTCCACACTCCTTGAAGTTGCATCAGGGCAACTCCGTAACTGATAGACACAAACTTACTAGAAGAAAAAGAATTATTTGAGCTCCTGGTTTCAGAGACATTCGGTCCATCACCCTGGGGAGAACTTTGCGAGATTCATGGCTGAAACTGAACTAGGGGCTAAGTCATAACCTCGGGAGCCTTGGCCTTAATGCTTACTTACACCCTCTAGTCCCCACCTCCGAAAGGCTGCAGAGCCTCCAATGTGGCACCACTGCTGGGAAACAGGTACTGAAAAAAGGAGCCTGCAGAGAGCACTCCAGATTCAAATCACAGCAGGCCCTGATCTTCACTTACTGTTTTTGTTTGTTTGTTTGTTTGTTTTGTTTTCTGTGGGCTTTCCAAGCCAGGGTCCTTGGAAGAGAGAAGATACGAGGGGGAAGAAAACCGATTGTCTGGGCCATTGAACTTGCAGTTGGCTTTATATTTATGGCTCTGAGGCACAGCACTCTTGGGTGGGGGGATTTACAGTGTGCCTAGTTACTTAGCCTTCAGCTTTGACAATCCTATCAGGGATGTCTTCGTGAGCAAGAGCACTTTCAAGGTAGGTATAGAGCCATTCTTTTTCTCACTTATCAATACATGACTGCCTAGATCCAACTGGCCAGTCAGTGCTACCTCTTAACTAAGTGGCAGATGAAATTGTACCCATCGAAAACCAAGTCTCTAACTCTCTATTCCATTTGTACCACCTGCAGCCTCTCACTCCCAGGTCACTCTCATGCCAAAGTTTCATTTGCTCTGGTCCAAAGCTCTCAACATTTGCCTTTTCTTTCGCATCTTGACATCCATAGGGGCTGCTCATTACAGTGTTTGAACCTGACCCCTTTCGCCACATCCACTGCCACCATGTGGCTGTCCCATTATTCTTTCCCTCTCGCAGTGGGTATTGGGGTCTACTTCTCTAACTTTGTCTACCTTACTTCTCCCACTCTCCTTTGAAACAGAAACCAGGGTAGCCATCTTAAACATTAATTTAGCTCATGTTCTTCTTGGATCAGAACACTCCAATGACTCTTGACTTACTCAACATAGACACCAAAGTCCTTTCAATACTTTACAAGGGTCTTGTCACCCTTTCAGTCACAGCTGTGACCCCTGATGTCCCTGTTACTGTCTCAAGCTTTCATTTGCCTCTTAAAGGTTCCTTGATTATCGGACAAGTTCTAGCCTGGTGGTCTCTGTGCTGGATCTGCCCACTTCCTTGGTGCTCCCCAGATGTCTACATGAAGAATTCCTCCACCCTTCAGTCTTTCATGTACATTTTTCATTCACAAAAGGACCACCTTGACTATTCATCTGTCTCCAAGTTCCAGCTTTCTGTCCCTGTTCTTCCATTCTTTTTCTTAAGAATCTATCACCATTCATAAATCATCTGTCACATAACTTATTTCTAAAACAACACACATTATGTATTTTATGTTTCTCCTCTAGAATATAAAATGTGTGACCAGGGATCTTTCCATCTTTTATCTCATTGCAGTGTTTGCAATGTTTAGAGTGGTGCCTGGCACACAAACAATAAATGTTTGTTAAAAGAATTAGTAAGTTCTGTGTTTACTATGGATGGCTTAGAGTTTGACTCAAAATGGACCTTTAGCTGATGTGTGTAAGGGGGGGTGGCGGGGGGGGGGAGCTTTGAGTGAATTACCAGCTTCCCCATTTGAAGTGGAAGTGAGATTCATTTTTTGTGATCCACAAGGTCCCAATCATCATGATAGCTATAATTCCCTAAACTGTCTCCCTGCTACTGTGCAGCCTGAGTTTGCCAGAACATTCAGGAGAAGAATGCCATTCTGTGAATCCTCACTACACATTTTAATTTGCTGCAGACATATCCTAAACGAGAGCTTTCAGCCTCCGGCTGTCTATTAAATGTGGCAGAAAGAATACACTCTTTGTGTTAATAAAAATATGTGCCAGTCATTTTGTATTAAGGACTGTTTAGGTAATAAAAATGGTCTCATGCCACATAAGATTTGGCAAGCCTACCTTGAATCATAAACCTTACATTTGTCAAGTTTTACATTCCTTGGGAAAACGATTACCTGCCTGATTATTATTGCATTCATTTCATATTAAATGTACGCATTATTTTTTTCAGGGTGCCAGAATGTGAAAGTCATCGACAAGACATTGGTGAGGAAAAATCCTTTGGCCGTTTCCAAGATCTGACAGTGCACAATATTTTCCCATCTGTATTATTTTTTTTCCAGCATGTATTACTTGACAAAGAGACACTGTGCAGAGGGTGACCACAGACTGTAACTCCCCACTTCAATACAAAGGGTGTCCTTCTTCTCCAACAAAATAGCGATCCCTTTTCGTTCATTGCTTTTGACTTTTCAATGGGTGTCCTAGGAACCTTTTAGAAAGAAATGGACTTGCATCCTGGAAATATATTAACTGTTAAAAAGAAAACATTGAAAATGTGTTTAGACAACGTCATCCCCTGGCAGGCTGGAGTGCGGGGAAACAAAAGCTATCCTCTGGTAAAATTGGAGGTAGTATGCTCAAGTCAAAGATAATGACCTCACTGTTTATTAACCTGTCTTATGTTTAGATTTCCTTAAGACAGTGGTTCTTACAGTGTGCGCTGGGCTTTGAAATGCTGGAAATGCCCAAAGAAACATGAGGTTTGGATCTGCCATGTTGAGAAAACAGCACTAGGTAGAATTGAAATGGATGGTGATAATTTGTGATTTTCTAGAGACTTTGTATTTTAGCACCCTAGTTCTTTGAAGGTAGATTTCCAGCCATATATTAAGTGTCTGAATACATCTGAATGTTGTGTGCTAGTCACCTCATTTGAAAAGGATGTGTTCAGTCCACTTGGGACAATATGGAACTATTTTCATTTTTGAACTCTGTCTACTTATTCCCATTTTTGAGGTATTGATTTCACAGTTCCCCCGGAACCTTTCTGGATTCTCTCATTCTCCTCATTTACACTCACATTCAGGGTCAAGTACATATTTTGCACTTTGTATTCATGGTGAATAAAGATTTGAAACTTTTGTTCAGAAGGAAGCAAAAACTATAGTAATTTTCTTAATTGTCTGATGTTACCTTCTTTGTTTTTTTCTATTTAATGCCATTCTTCCTTGGGCATGGGGCAGTGGAGACACTCTACCATGCCAACTGAAGACCCTATAAAGTGATGACAGTTTTCACTTGCACCTTGCCCTTCTTGTACCCATGCCTCAGGACTCTCACAGTGTGGCAGAGCTTGACTCAGAATATACTCCACTTGTCTCATTGAATGCTACTTAAAAGACACAGTTTTGAAGATAAAGTCGTTAGTGTTTTAAAGACAACAACCAAAGAGCAACAAACCCTGGACATGAGAACCCTTCTGAATGTGGAACCCTGGACACTGTGAAGGTAACAATACAGGGCTGTTAGTTTTACCAAAGAGAGCTTTCTGCAATGGGAAGCACACTTGGCTTCTGAAGTAATTTAGTTTGAACATGGAGTGTTGAATGAAGCCACTGAAAGAATCACCATCTTAAAGGATGACTGTTATATTGCTTTATGATTTTGTTTATTGTCTGGTGATCTTCTCCACCTGACTTCTGAATCCCAGATCATTGCTAAATGATAGCAATGTAGACACGGATTTTCCTTTTGAAGTCACATCGATGTTTGAGTAAAACAAGCATTCATTTACTCTGATAAAAATAGGAATAGTTAGCTTTCATCTTTTCCTCCAGATACAGAGGAAATGTTATCTTCATATCATATCATGCTGTCATTTCTAGCTAATTAGTGAAGAAATATTCCCAACTGATTAGTAAATACTTTTGCTGTTAGTGTGTAATATTCATTGTGGCTACATTGCTCCATCCTAAAATGCTGTTAGTAGTTCAGGAAGTGAAGCTCCACAAGAAGGATTTATTCAAATTACAACAAGAATGGATACAGATTATAAATTTCCTGTAATTTTTACAAGCTCAGAACTATGCCCTGTAGATTTCTCCTTATGCCTTCAGAGTTAGACTATGTCCCAAAACCCCATGTTGGATAAGTTTTCCATAACCAGAATGATACAGTTGTTTGAATCCATTAGTAACAAATACGGATACAGGAATGAGGAATGGTCGGAGGCAAGAATGGAGTGTGTTGATTACACATTCCTTTCCAGGAGTTCTGCCATTAAATTTTGTGATTGTCTTTTCTGTTTCTGATATATTTTTTTTAAATTTAAGTTAAGCTTATTATTAAACAAGTGCATAAAACACCAACATCATATACAATCATGGTGTACTTTGAAGGTTTTGGCACGTGGAGTCTTTGAAAAGACTTTTAGGAGAAAGCAATAAGGAAAAGATAGTCTTGTTAGGCTGTGTCCTTGTCTGTTGTGTCATTTAGGGCACAGTGCAGGAGGGCAGTGTCCCTTAAACCATAACCTGTATCAGAACTACTTATAAGATTGTGAAAATAGATTGTCGGGGCCATCTCCTATGACTTCTCATCCAGCCAACTCAATGAGCCAGTTGTTGGGTGTGAGCTGTAGGGAGAGGCCATGTGCCACCTAGAAATACTGGGCACTCTTTTTTTTTTTTGAGACAGAACTTCTCTGTTTAGCTTTGCGCCTTTCCTGGAACTCACTCTGTAGTCCAGGCGGGCCTCGAACTCACAGAGATCCGTCTGCCTCTGCCTCCTGATTGCTGGGATTAAAGGCGTGTACCACCACTGCCCAGCTGCACTCTTTAACAATTAATTCTTCCTGTTTTATTTTATTTCTTACTGAGACATAAAATGCCTACATGGCGTGTGTAAAATGGCAAAGATCAAGTGTGTGGGTGGATACATTTTATACAACTATACGTCCCCTGTAGATCATGATGTAGAAAATTTCCATCATTCCTCAGAGTACCCTCTTCTTCAGAAGTAAACAGCACTGGTGTCTGTGGCCATTGATTGCTGTTGACTGTTACTGAGCTGTACACGATGCAGACCTTATGGCATGTGCTTGGGTGTTTGGGGTCTTCTGACAACTCCATGGGGAACTCATTCATGACTCTATCAGTAGTTTAGTTTTATTTATTCGTCTGTAGTGTGCAGTGACCCACTGTAGAGCTTTGCTACAGTATAGTGGTCTCTTCTCCCATTGCTAGGTGTCCTGGTTGTTTCCAGGTTATGTTTTGTTCTGGAAGTAGCTACTGCTCTTCTTAATGCAAATGCAGTATTATTTTATGCTTTTTTCAGAAAAAGCTATCCAGTTTGAACACCAAGAAAGTTATGTTCCGTGTAGATATGGCCTACATCTTCTTCAGGAGCACTCAGTTCTCTTCTCTGTAACATCTTGTCCTCATAGATGTTTGTTTCTCTCATGGCTGAAATAGTTCTTCCTCCCTGATACAGAGTTATGCCTGGGGCCTGTATAGTTTGGGATGGCTGCCAACAGAAACCTCCAGAATTTCCTTTGCTTAAGCTTGCTTATATTCTGCTACCTGGAAGAGTGTGGGTGTGAAATAAACTTCCTCCTAACTACCAGGTTTGGGTACCCAGTTCTCAGGCCCGTAGGGGTGAGTGCAGTGGGACAGATGCTTCTTAGCGTGCAGTTTGCAAACTACATCTGTATCCTAGCTGAGTTATTCATTTGATTGTTTATCTGGCCCAAACCTTGATGTTTGGGAAACAGCTTGAAAGGGCTGTGGTACATTAGGATAGCATGAAAGGAAGTTGTGGCTTGTTCTCAAAGAAGAAGAAAAGATGTTTTTTTCTTCTCTGTAAAATTCATAATTTATTTACATGCACTGTGTTGCATGTAAGTTGCGTAGCAACAAAAATAAAGTCTGTGTATGAAAATCTGAAGGTTTTGTATTACATAAAAAGAGTACACTCTGACCTTGTACTGTTTTATAGTGTGCACCATGTCACTTGCCAATTATACAAAGACTTCAAGGTGACTATTTTAGGTATTATGCTAACCCAAGTGATAGAAGGCCATTCTTATATGTTTAAAATATGGGAAACTTTTATTCATTCTAAAGAATACAAATTTCCTGTCCTTATCCAAATCTAACTTGTGCAATAGGGCTCTTGTCTTCCTTAATTGGAATGTCCATAGACAGCTGAGGGAAAAGAAAAAAGATGCTTCTACAAACAAATCATTTCCTGTTTGCTTCTCTAAGGATGATTATCCGAAACTAGATAATGACAAGGTTCAATTGAAAATTTCCCAGATTCTTCTAAAAATCAGGAATTGGGGAACTCTAGAAGCAGAAATGAGGGTTGGTGTTTCTGTAAGCAACATGCCTGATTTTACTTTTTCCTTTGATTCCCTGGGGCTGGGGAGAAGACTTGGGCCCAGCTTCCTACCTGTTTTCCCTAGTTGAACTATTTATCTTTGGGCCTGATTTGTTTTCCTTTGCAGTTAAGCTTGCATTCGTTCCTAACAGTGGTATCTTGTTATTGATGGAGTCATAGACAGAAAGACTTTTTACATCATATGCTACAGTTTCCTTGTCACATTCACTGCCCGAAGGACAAAGCTAACTTGCTAAGAAGCCCTGGATTAGGAGATTGAACACTTGAGTGCCTGGGCTTGTGAACCATAATTTAACCCCTCCAATCTCACCTGTGAAATGAGGACCAGTGTCTGAATAGGGGTTATTATGAACATAACAGGGAGAAATAGAAGAAAATTGTGAATTGTAGATCAATCTTAAAAAGGAAATCTTACTAACAATCACTAGTAGTAATATGGGAGGTAATTTCACAAATACCAATGTGCATTTTATGTTCACGTAGAAAAAAAAGACTTTGTGATCTGGACAATTATTTAAAAATTCAAATAATTCAATGGAAAAGAATAAAAGTAACCAGAGATTTTTTTTTTTTTTTTTGGTTTTTCGAGACAGGGTTTCTCTGTGTAGCTTTGCGCCTTTCCTGGATCTCACTCTGTAGACCAGGCTGGCCTCGAACTCACAGAGATCCGCCTGGCTCTGCCTCCCGAGTGCTGGGATTAAAGGCGTGCGCCACCACCGCCCGGCGTAACCAGAGATTTTAATACATGGATGTGGTGATATTTTGTTTGTGCTTTAACAAATAAATCTTGCCTGAAGCTCAGAGTGTAGAGGTAGCCACTAGAGGCCAGGCAGTGGTGGCTCACACCTTTAATCCCAGCACCTGAGAGGAGGAAACAGGAAGTGATATGGCTGGGCAGAGAGAGGAAGTGATAAGGTGGGGTAGAGACAGAAGCTTGGCCCTTTCAAGCTGAGGATTCAGTAGGGGAAAGAAGTCTCTCTAGTGGATGGTTCTTTTACTAATCTTCAGGCAAGATTTATTTGTTAAAGCACAAACAAAATATCACCACACATGAAAATAACCTATTTATTTTAGGGCTACCATCTCAGAAGCTGCTGTGTATATATAAGAAAT